GCTGTGTTACTCTTTACATTATTGATAATCCTGATGAAATAATCCTATCATTCCTCTTTGAATATAGAAACAAACAAGCGAAATTTGAACGTGTTTCAGGATTAAAATTTCCAGTTTGTAGACCTCTTTCCATTAAAAGTTGTTCATTGATACTAACGCGCGCGCGTGTCATTTCATTAATGTATCTCGCCATTGCGCAATCATCCGCTGGCCGTTACGAATACGAACGGCCGACACGAAAATGCCATATTTCGTCATGCATCACGCGAGGAGCTCTTTTATTTACATTTCGCAGCAACCCGCTTTCCTTTATCTTCCACAATGTCAGAGAAGTCGCGATTACCACGCGCGGGCTTCAAACGTCGCGCGACGTTTCACTGCATGTACGATGTGTAACGCATGTATCTTGAGAGTTATCGGGGGATACTTTGCACGCCGCGCCACCGGTTTTTTCTTTACCTTTTTTCAAATTTAATCTAATGCCAGAAGTTGCAAATTAACTAATATATAAACGAGACTGCATGATTAATTCAAAAGGTCATTTGCTGAACGTGCAATTATTATAATATTACGTTCACGCGTGAGTCGGTGTTATCACGCTTCCGTCACGGAGTATTCCGGAGATCGGAGGCAAAAAGAGAAGAAGTGTCGGTCTTCGTTTTTTCCAGCTTCCCTTTATCTGTAAGATATAGAATAACAGGAAAGTGAAAACCGTCATGTTATCGGACTGTATTTTTTCGAGGCGAATGTCTAAACCCGTATTCCGTTTTGGATATTCACTTGTATTTTAGGAATATTTTATTTCTTTTTTTTTTGTAATATCTGAAAAGAGAAATTGCATTGATATAAAGCAGAGCTGAAGCTGTGCCATAATTTAATTGAGTTCGAATTTCGATATGCATGTATAGTTACTATCATTGTATGCAAAATGTCTTAAGATTTTGAAATCTGATTTCATTCGCTGATATCTCTGGACAAAAGATGTCAAATGTTCAACGACGGAATATCTGTATAGGAGCAAAAAATAAAAATAAAACAAGATATTAATAAATTACAACAATATAATTTAAAAATAAAACCAAGTATTAATAAATCATATAAATAATATAATTTAAAACAATAATGATGAAAATTAGTTATTGATCTTTAGCACTTAATTAAATGACAAAAGAGAAGGGTTTGCGTGAAAATTGTAAAACTGGCTTGATTTTGTCAAAAGTGCTAAGACAGAGAAAAGAAATTGCCACGAGAAAATTGGACATTTAAATAAATAAATTTCAGAACAAAATATCTTACGTCAATTATAACATTTATGAGTTAATAATTTACTTCATTTTCAGTGTTATATTTTTCCCTTCATACACGAATTCCTCGGTGATACTCGCTGCATTTTTTCCCAGTCGAGGGAGAAAATGTTTCTCGTGTAACCCTAGACTTACTACGCCATTGTCGGGATCGTACGAGCCTAATCGACGGTAACTCTTGGCAATCTTTCGCCTCTGAACCGTCGCTATGAAGTACAGTCCGTGGCGATTGCTGCGCACGATGCATACGCCGAGAATTACGCGATGCCACTGTACGCAAAAAAAATATCGAGAAAAGAATTCATTGCTCAGAATGTTTTGCATTATTTCTGCTTACGACGGCTGAACGTGCGCTTAAATACCACGGGCGGTAGTTAAAAGCGATAAATGGGAAGAAGTATAATAGTTTAATCGTTTGTAAATACGCTGTACTGTGTGTTGAAAAAAAGAAACAAACGGGTGAAAGGGCACCGAAGTCGCGTGAGCCGCAAGTGGAAATTCATTATGCAAGATGTATCGCCTCGTCATCAAAGTTGTTACATCGATTAAAAATACGTGATTCTCTTTTCTATTTGTTTATTTGTCGGCATCTATGAATGAAACGATTACAAGTTTTGAAATCAGTGTTTTAATAAATGTTTAATTAGAATTTTAAAGCTGCCAAAATTTGTTATTTGTTCGCTCGAAGAGGAAGTTGAAATTATTAAATTATTATTTAAAAATATTTTAGCCTCTCGAAGAGGAATTGTTATATTATGAAAAGCGCCAGGAAATCGTTACTTGTTTTAAAATTCTCTCAAAACTTCGCAATCGCTTACAACTCTCGATGTGCATTAAGGGACGAATAGCATCTTTTCCTTCGACCGTAGAAACATCTGGGGAGAGAGAGAAAGGAGGGTCGAGAGGCATCGTTTACATTCCATACCGTTTTTGTTTCAAATCGAGGCAAGACTCGAAGATCCGTCTTGTGCTTTACAATCTGCTTTCATAATGAATTTACGCGACAGCTTTTCCCCCTTTCTCGATTTTTGGGGTCGTGTAACGCAGCGGATGAGCAACGATCGCCCGAGTCCGTCGTGCGTATCACGAAACTCGAATCAATCGACCGTAGATCCACTTTTCAGCGGCGAATCAAATGATTCGCAGTCTCGCAGTCTCGACAGAGATCGCGCGTGTCTCTCTGCTCATCAAATTAATCGCTGCATCGCGACGGAGTGTATCCGTTTCCCTCATTAATGCGTTGGCACAGTGCGTCGTGTCGTCTCATGGAAATAATTGTACTTTCATCGTTCGTTCGTAACTCAACACTTACCTTCAACGAGGCTTTATCAGGAATCTCTATTTTCCCTACATTATACATATATAATTTCCTTTTTTCTTAATGAAAGTTGAGGTTTTTTTAATTTTACTTCTCGCCTAATATTTTGTTCGACTATACCGTTTTTCTCAAACGCACGTGTTAAAAGGGAAAAAATATTCATAGTCAAGGAAAAAAAATTTTATCTTTAACTTTCGTTTCTTTGTCGTCTGTCATTATTTGACCGTCAACGACAGGCTTCATCGATAGTCTCTATAGTTTTCTTCCCATTCACATATTCCTTTCGTTTTGTTAAGCAATTTCCTCTCTTTTTCAATTCTCCTTCCCTCCTAATTTTTATTTCATCGTACTAATTGTAATTAATATTGCAGACCCAATAAAATGGTAGACGTATTGTCGACGCGTCTACAGGAGGTGTACGCCAAGTGGGAAACCAGGACGGAAGTGACGCGAAATGCGGAACCGCCGACCACTCGATTTTCGCTGGACGGTAATTGTCTTTTCTCTCATTCCGAAGCTATTCTTACGTAAGATGCGTGTGCCGCGGGAATATACAATTACTATCAATCGCCAGCTATATCATTGGCGCGCGACTCTTGACTACTCTCTCGCGGCGCGTGTTTCTGCGAGCACGGAATGCGTGTCCCGATTGCGCAAAATGGGAGATACTCATAACAATTAACGCAACGTTTCGAACCGTGAACACCGTAACTACCGTACGTTTAACGGATTCAGAAACGTAATTATTATTTACTTTCCGTCTTTTCGAATCGGCATCGAACCGAACTTTTGTAGTCTACTTATTAGTGATTTATATGACAGACTCAGCTATCGACTTTTCACTTAATTCATATTTTCACTTCGATTTGACTTAATCTTTGTGTCAATTCTTTTACTTTAAAATGGATATGCCACATCTCTCGTTCTAGAAGTACGAAAGTGCGAAAACGCGCGTGAAGTCTTTCGTCGCTTTTCGCGTAGACAATGAGAAATCTCTTCGGACGTTCCCGCGCGCGACGAGATGCGCTTCCGACGACGACTCGTTAAATCGTATACAATTGCAGGTCTTCGGCGTGCCGGGCTGCAGTTCCATCGGCGGAGGATCCAGGACCGGGAGACGTCGCGTAAGGTGCGCGAGAGCTCGTTGTACAGCATCAAGGAGACCGAGCCGCTGACGCCCGCGATCAGGCAGAAGTCCTCGATCCTGCATTACTGCTGCAACACATGCACGCCCGCTTCCAGGGTGAGTTTTTGCCGCCGGGTCCGCCACCGTCCACGATCGCGTCGTCCTCGGCGTTTGCCGGGCGAGCCATGCCTCGCGTGTTCACCACCAATCTAGCCCGAGTCGCGCGATCTCGCGCGTGGGCGCGCATGGGGGCCCATTGTATTGCAGCTGCTTATAACGGCCGGCTAACCCGTTTAATTTACCGAACTTCTCGTTAAATACCGGTGACCTCGTTGCTCCGACTTTGATTGCCGTTTTCGGTCTATTGTTCGTCGATAAAGTTAACGGGCCGGCAGCGCAGGTGCGACATGTACGGAGATCCTACACTAATTGTGTAAGCTATATCGATTGTATTTTATTAACGAAGTCGCTGAAAAGAAGACTTATGACTCATTATGCAGAACAATTTAGATAACTTTGAATATAAGATAACGCTTGCAATTCTTATTGTAATTATCCTGACAACTTGATTACAACGCTAAAAAAACCAATTAGAGTTAAAAAACAGATTTGAAAAACCGTATCTTTGAAATTAAAAGAAAATTTGCTTCTGCAAAATTGTGTTTGGTACAATGAAAAAATATTGCATGTCAACATTTGTTACGTTTATTATGTTTATTACAGACAGATAATTTATAGATTTATTTTTTGCTTATTTGTGAAACTTATAAATAATATAAATAATTCCCTGGCCGAGAGCGTCTCAATGAAACTGACTTCTTTTTTAATTTTTATGACGCTTAAAATATACAAGATTTTTTACTTTATTTTAAATGTGGAGAGATTTTTTGTTTAAATAAAGTAAAAGGTATTTTAGTTTGCGAGACCAGTTAGATACATTACGTTTATTTAATCAGAATTTAGTCTATATTCCGATGTGCTAGATTAACTTATTTTATGTTAGAATGTTGTTTGGGATCCAAAGTAATGATAGTACTCTGTATACGCGAGAATCATTACATTTTGATTCACGAAAACGATGCACGTCGCGATAGTCTTATCATCTCAATTACAAAGTTGACGTAAGAGAAATAGTCGCGAGAACTTTAATCGGCGTCGCAGATTACGAGAAAGGTTCCTATACCGTCGGACAACACATAGGTCATCCACTAAAAATACATTCAATCGTTCGACCGGGCGCTTTTCAGTCTTTCAGCCACGCGGAATCGCGGATAAACGCATCTTCCCTCGCGATAAATCATTATCCCATTTTCTACAATAATCCGCATTAATCGCTAGTCCCGCCTGAGGAGCGGAGAGCGCCTGCAAGGCGTTTCGCACCTTCACACCTACGATTGTGATCTATTTTGGTACGCGATACGAGAGAGATCGTAACGGTGTGGGAGAGCACACGACGTGCGACACGACGACGACGACGCAAATAAGTCGCTTAAGATCCACTCGCCTTTAAAGATCCGACCGGTCCTGCGACGAAATTTCTCCTAATGCGATCATTTAATTTGCGCGAAACGTACGTGTGTGTATATGTGTGCGATTTATTCGTGTGTACAACGGTACAATGGGACGGCTGACCAACGGCATTCTGTATATAGAATTCTCCTTTCGATAAATCGAAATCTAGCCTAGATATGATCAAGTGTGAATCGGTGGTCTCGTGACGCGCGTAGGAATACAGCTGTTACGGCCGCACATTGTCTAATTAGAGGACACGTCCTCTGACACGTGTTTAATTACGTAACGAAGCTTCGGTCGTCTTTCGTCACTTGACCCTCTCCGGATAAGAACAATTAGCACGCAGGCACGCACGCATCGACGCGTGCGTAAATGTGAACTTCGTGCTGAAACACTTGATCTTCAAGAGGAAAAATCCTGTCCAAAGTGGATTTCGGCGGTGGAAGGGAGGGAGATCCGTTCACTCGCGTATATTTCGAGCTACGTTTAATGAGCCACGTTTGTGACTTATTGTGTAAAACAATTTAAATAACTTTTGCAATTTTCCTGACAAATCGACAGCAAGTTTCAGAAACAACGTCAAGAAACATTAGAACTAGAAAACAGAAATTGTATCTTTGAAAAAAAAAAAAAAATAACACAAAATTAGTGCGATGAAAAAATGTCGATTCATCTGTACATTTATTGCAGATAACGATCGTTTGTATTATCAAGCTAATCGTCATCATCTAATAATAATAATATACAATTTGTACACGTAATATATAATGATAAGCATGTATTCGATATTCTGATGATAAGAGACATGTGCGACGAACCACGTGGGTTCTTATCACGATGGTGGCGCATTGTTATCGTTCGCGGCTATCCAAAGAATGTGAGTTAATTATGTGGAGTGTAAAAATATTATATAACATAATTAATTTCATAACGCTTATACAGTATGTCTTTAGATTCTTCGTCAGAAAAATAAGCTGAAGAAAAATAAACTAAAAACACGTTCAATAATTTCGAAACACTTTTATATATCTTATCTTCTTGGAAAAATTTAGATTCTCAAGCTGCTTCTAGTATACTTCATACGTGTTATATATACTTCTTATATATTTTTTATGTATTCTGATGTATTCTTTTGATGTTTCTACGCTCTCTTTACGAAATTTTTAACGAAAGAATATTTCTCATTTTACCTCTGACCTTTGTTCCAGGATACGTTGGTAAAATCCGTACTCAAGCAGCAGCAGCAGCCATTCGGTGTGAATATACTTCTGATAAAACCAGGCTCTACACTTTTCTCGAAAGTATTCAACTATGTGTCTTGCGTATTAAGCTTCAAGAGATATGACTATCCGATGGTCACGGAAACGGTTAGTTTCGCTCCCACGAACTATTATTGAATTTTTTGGACTAGATGAATCTCCACCGTTGTTAAGCTCGCCCTCTCGATATTCTGATAGGTCCTGAACGATGAAAAATTGAAAGACGCTATCAAGCTAACCGCATGGGAGGCAGCCAATAATGAGGGTTGCAGCGAGGAGAAGGCGCTCGCGAAGGCGAAAGCCAGAGCTAGGAGCATATTGCTGGAAATGGAGAGCAGATGCAGCGACACTCTCCTCAAGATAGTCGCGTGGCTGGTGTACAAATTTTTGCCATGCTTCATACAATCCGCCGTGACGGTGCCCTCACAAATGGAGCTGCTGAAGCAGGCGGACGACGCCGGTTTGCCACTCGTGCTGCTGCCCCTCCACCGCAGCCACTTGGACTACGTAATGATCAGTTTCCTCATGATTGTGAACAACATAAGGAATCCGTTGATCGCGGCAGGGGACAATTTGAAGATCCCGTTTTTCGGGTAAGTCTGCAATCTAACATAAGTCTCATCTTAAGTCTTAGAATCTTGTTCTGACATCTAACGAGAACAATTTTCAAAATACGTTTTCAATATCGGTTGGCAGTTGGCTCCTGAGTGGTCTGGGCGCTTTCTTTATCAAACGCCGTATCGACCCGGTGGTAGGACGCAAGGATCTTCTCTATCGCGCGACGCTTCAAACGTACATTATGGAAAGTCTCCGTGCCGGGCATAACTTGGAGTTCTTCGTGGAAGGCGGCCGCACGAGAACTGGCAAGCCTTGCATGCCGAAGAGCGGTATCCTAAGCGTCATCATCGACGCGTACATGGACGGTACCATTGAGGACGCGTTTCTGATACCAATCGCGATCAATTACGAACGACTGGTGGACGGAAATTTCGTTAGGGAACAATTGGGGCAGCCAAAGAAGATGGAGACTTTCACGTCGACGATCAAAGCCATGTGGTCGACGTTAATGGGCCATTACGGCATCGTCAAAATCGATTTCTGTCAACCGTTTTCCCTCAGGGTAAGCGAGAAAGAGAGCTGATTCTTCTCAAATAAAATTAATTCGCATCGATGACGTTAAGACTTGTTAATGTGGAGAGATGATTTTCAACAGGAAATGGTAAAGGCGTTCCAAGCTCAACAAGCTAAATTGGCTCTAAGAAATCCGTCGGAACGATCTTTAAAATATACTATGTCGAATTCGTCTCTTTACGGTACAGACGTAATTGTGGAGGAACAACGTCAATTAGTGGACAGCATCGCCCGGCACGTTGTGTATGGTGAGTCAGGATGATTATTACTCTCTTTGTCGACTGTAGCATCTTTTGAAGTAAACATGTCTTGTTGACATTGATACATTTCTGTTGATTGCAAAATGATATCCTTATTATAATTTCTCACGAAATTAATCTGAATTATATCGTCTTAATTGCTTGCAGACTCGTCCGTATCTATGCCGATTATGTCGACCAATGTTGTTGCATTTTTGTTGTTAAATAAGTTCAGAGACGGTTGTACGTTGGACAAACTGGTCGAAGCGTTCGACTCGATAAGACAAGAGTTGGAATTTAGTGACAAAAACGTAGCCTTTTGTGGAGAGACTGTTGATGTCATTAAACACGCGGTTAGTAGACGACGATCAGCGGAAACGAGCCTGGGTACGAAGATGAACAAATTAAACTAACCGTTGAATTTACAGCTGGAGATCTTAGGACCGGGCTTGGTGATGCAGCAGCGGCAGGAAATCACCGAAGCTGTTGAAGGCGATCAGTCTTATAAATCGAATGTTGTTATAGCGATCCGTCCCGTGTCTATTCTACCGAATGTGATCGAACTGTCGTACTACAGCAACACCATGCTGCTGTACTACGTTATGGACAGTATAGTAGGTAAGATCCACCAAACGCGCGATCGGCGAGCCGATTACGATTATGTAACGCAATCCTGTTATGTTTTTCAGTAACTGCTTTGTATGCTGAATTGCAGTCCCAGCTTAACGATCCGATCGCAATCGCCGAGAACAATATTACAGTGTTCCAAAATAATCTGCTCGAGCGGGCGCTCAAGTTGTGCGACATTCTTAGGTATGAATTCATTTTCTGCAGACCCTGCCAGGAATTGCGTGACGTTGTTATCGATACGATACAGAATCTTTCGCACAAGGGCATTATCACTCAGAAAGAGGTACATCTCTCTTTGTTTTTATAGATAATTAAATAATTTCTTATCTGAGTTATCATAATAACAAAAAAAATGATTGACAGGAAATTTATCTGGAGGATGAACTTTGGAGTAAAAGATACGCGAAAAATTTTGACGATAGCTCGGACGAGGAGTATTCGAGGGAACGCGAAATCCAGAAAATTGAATATAAAGTAAATTACTTTTTTCGCTGTTATTAATAGTTCTTGTACCAATTTTCAAATTGTTACATGTATATGTGAATAATTTCCATATGTTAAGAATAATCTTATGAGTTACGTTCTTAATTATTTTCAGCTGAGCTTAAGGCCAGAGCATTCTAGTCGCATGGAATTTCTACATACAATGTTACGTCCGTTAATCGACACGTACACATGCAGTGCCTTCAATTTGAGGAAGTTGGTCGACCGGTCGCTCAGCGAACGAGAGTTGGTTCAAGAAGTGTTAAGCGAAATCAAAACCAAAGTAGACGGAGGCGTAGTTAGTTACGGTAAGTTACAATGTAATGTTGTAAACTCAACGATCTTCCGATTATATATAGACAAATATAAAATATAATTATGCCATAAACTTTTGACACTATAATTTCGCATTGCACGCGAGACTGCTTATAGATTAGATAATATATGCAGTTTGGAAACATTTAATTAAAGAAAAAAACTGACATAATATCATTTCTTTAATAGGAGAGAGTATAATTATGCCACAAAAAATGTTGTTGACACTATAATTTTGCATTGCACGCGAGACTGCTTATAGATTAGATAATATATGCAATTTGGAAACATTTAATTTAAAAAAAAAAAGACTGACATGATATCGTTTCTTTAATAGGAGAGAGTTTATGCGTCGATCCGATTAAGAACTCCTTTAGGCTTTTCGAAAAGTGGAACGTCCTGGAGTGTCACATGGAAGAGAACGTTAAAATTTTTTACTTGAAAGACGATTGTGATACGGATGCGGCAACGAAAAATGTGTACGATACCGTAGCAGCTTTCAAGTGGGCCAGAAACATGGACTAAAACGTGGTGATACTTCCTACTTCAGTTAAAAAGAATCACTATTTTTTTATATCTTTTATAAAATCTCATTGAACATATTGTCTGGATGTTTGACAATATTTTCCGCGAACATTGTTGGGCATATGTTAAGTGCACATATGCCTAGTACACATACTATAAATACATTTATAGTATGTGTACTAGAATGCATGTTTAAATACGTACAGTTTGTATATAGTTTCTTTAAACGAGGAAAGCTGCGATATAGTATATCTTGTGAGTGTTCCTAAAAGTATGTGTGATTTGCATTCACAATGAAATACTTAAGACGTTTCACGATGTAGAACTGTACAGAGATGCAAAATTAAGAACATAGATTTAAGCTGGTTGTATCATAAAATATTTTTACGAATAAATAGACAATATTATGTACCACAGAACCGTGTTTATAGTCTATCTTGTTAATAAAAATTTTGTGCGCGTATATTTCAATAATTTTCTTTCGGTTCTATTAATTTAACATCTCGCTTAAAATGAATACTCTCTTGCAAATTTTTTTTAATGTTTTTATTAATGCATACATATCTTGCATCATAAAATTTGTCAAAACTTTATGTGCACTTGGCAATCTAATACTCCGCCTCAGTATTTCACAGTCGACAAAATCGGACAGCTCCTTCTGAGTCCCATGCACTTTTCTCTGTCGATGAATAGTGCATCCATCTTGGACTTCAAATCGCTTTCCAGACTAGACCTTGTGCGCAAGAGTTCCTGATGCTGCGTCTCTGACTGTTGCAATCTCATATTCACGTCATACACTAGTTTATTAATATCCTCCACTTCTTTGATCATCCTATAAAACAAGTGCAAATATTGTTATCTGAATAGTGATACGTAAATGATTATTTTACTAAACCTGAGTTGGGCCTGATCCTTGCACAGTTCAGTTTCCGGACGGTGCGTCCTGGCCTCCAGCCGCGTGTGCGCAACTTTCAATGCCGGACTTTTGTCTGCGATCATCCTTTGCATTGACACCATGCTCTTCTCTATGTCGAAAATCTCTTCTTGAATCTAGATTGTTCACGTATAGATAATATTGAATCTGACGCGTAAGATTTTAAAAGCGAAAGATCTAAAGACCTTATGAAGACTACAATAGGTCAAATATTATTTAGATGTTTTCTGAACTTTTGTATTATTTATAATGTTGATAAAAGTTTGTTTGTGCCCCTGCTACGATCTTATGTCGCAACTTTTTATTAACAAGAAGTTTGTTAAACTTTTCGTTACCTTATGTAGATGCGCTTGTAATTTTTCCTTCGCTTTCAACATTTCGGCAGCTCGTCTGTCCAACGCTTTATTGGTTTTAGCCCAAGCTTCGCATGTCTCATAGCTTATAGCATTTATAGCATTGCAAATGTCATTTCGCAATTGGTGCGACTTTGCTCGTTCCATCTGCGATTTCTTCACTATATTGTCTGATGCTTCTACCCAAGTTTCACAATCATTTCCGGTAACACTGTACAAATGCAATTATTACAACTTCAATCAGTCAACAGAGAAGTAAAGTGTGTGAAGAACAGAATAACATCTCGTTTAATAAAACAAGATAATATCAATTTATTTGAAAAAAAAAAAAAAAAAAAAATTATTTTATTACGTTTTTCTTCTCCACCCCGAATTAAATGCTGCAAGAGTGATTGTCAATAAATAAAGGATTTCATAATTACCTAGGATCATATTTTTCTATACCACCGTAATATTGCAGACCTCGACTAAGATTGTTCATCTGGTGACACACGCTGTCGATTCCCAGGGCCGTTTCTTTGTTTTGCACGTTAATCTGTAGCTGATGTTGCACAGCTCTGCCGTTCGTTAGCTGAAAGAACATTACAGAGTAAATTCTTCAAATCTTCAAATAATTGATATATCGGCAAGCATACAACTTACTTGATTGGCACATCTATTCATGAACTGTTTTAATTTCTTGTCACAATTTCTCACCGTTTCGACTTCCTGCAGCAGATCTTTTTCAACTTCGTCGTGAACCAAATCAATACCTAATTAATATTAACCGATTAATTAAGCCTTCTAAGTGCAGATTTATAAGATTCCCTTATTTCACGGTGTCTGAAAACGAAGAAACCTTTTCTCGACTCTCGATGATAAAGACATTCTTGCGCGATGTGTAACTGTGCCTCGAGATTTTGGACCACTCTTTGCAGACTGCGTCGACACTCCTGCTGTTTACCATTTTCTACGATTAATCTCTCCAATTCCATCGTCATCTCGTTCCGCCAGAAAGTGATGTCCGTGATTCTTTCCCCGAGTTTTCGACCGCTGTCTACTTGTCCCTTATGTATCTTTTCATCGGCTTCTCTGAAACGTACCACAGTAACAATATATTTTGACAAGTACATGCTCAAATCACGTGTAATTTATAAACGAATAATTTTGATAAATTTTAAATCAATTTTAATATAACGACATTTTTTATTGTATCGAATTAGGTACTTTCTGCATGCAAACAAATTAAACCGCAATTAATATATCATTAAATAATATTTTAATAATACGTATTAAAACAGCAATTATTATATCATTAAACACAAATTAAAAGAACAATTAATGTATGATATTAATTGCTGTTTTATTATATATATATCTATGAACAATTTTTTATTTAATTTGAAGAATCATCGGGATCATCAGATCGAGTCTCAAAAATGTTATATTCCTACCGTATTAAGCATGCAGTGTTCTTGCGCAATTTTTCAGAATAACATATGTTCGCATTTGTCTCATTGCAGAGTTTGATTTGATTCTGTAGCCAGTCACACGGGGTGTATCGCGTGTAAAGTGCGGCACGTGCCGCGTGCGAAGGATTGCGGTCGAAGCCGGTCACCAAATTCGGAAATTTCAGCGGCTCCGTCGCCAATCCGCGCGTCGTGCGACAAGCGTCCACCAGCAGATTCGTTATGGGCTGCGCAGGCCTAGAAAAATAAAAATTAATTCGGATTTTTTTAAATTAATTTTCACTACAAATATAGCGGGAGAGACTTAAATCGCATGGCTTGTGCCTCTGATTGTTGGAAATATATATAGCAAGTTCTCACAGGGGAGCCGCCTCTACGACTTCGTATCCCAAAGTAGATCGCCAAGGATGCGGCCTTGGAGTCTTGTAAAATTCTCCGACTCTGGTGGGAACCGGTGGACCGATGACCTGCTCCATACACGGCGAAACGCCGACTGCACTCCATGGTTGAAGTTGCTGGACGAAATAATAGGGTATTATTTGAGTAATAACAAACGAATAAATATGATATTAATATCCCAATTTGACTCCAATGAGATGATAAAAACACTTTTGAAAGTGGAGTGTTTTATGCGCATATTAAATAAAATCATTTTCGCACAGTTTCTAATTTTTTTAACCCTACATCCGATTAACATGAGATTGACATAATTGTTTGAATTCGATTACTATAACAGGTAATACTTAATAATATTTACGGAGTACATAACAGTCTCGGTCTTTTTCCCGATTTTAACGTTGGCCATAATCGCTTACGATAAATTTTACAAATTTCTTTCCACATATATGTACAGAGAAGCTACAGACGCAATTCAACGCAATTTCGAAACACGAAGTGACATGAAGTAAATCGAATCTCGAGCGATTTCGAAAGAACAAATAGAAAAATAAAAAAATATATTTTTTTTTTTAAGAAAATGACGGAAGATAATGATAATTTCATTTAATTCGCGTGCGATTTTTCTCGCGCGAAACGATCAGACGAGACAACCCATGTAAAATTAAGTAAATACGATTTCTAAAACAACAGCGATTCCTGCTCCGAAAGTAAAAAAAAAAAAAAAACTCCGAAGTGACATTTGTGCCGCCTTAGGCGTAGCGCCTATTCAAAATCCGGAAGTACATCGGCCACGTGACGCGAGTCGGCGTCACACGGCTGACAGCGGTGGTCACGAGGTGGTAGTCAGGTGCTTCGCGGAGTGCCTTCGATGCCTTCTGCTGCATTGATTCATTCCGCTCTCGATTACTGTGCGCACGGCTCAGCGCGAGTTCGCGTTCGTTCGACCCGGCCTCAAACTCGACCTCCAGGATGACGGGCGGCACGGGAAAGCCGAGCAATCTGGTCCGCGCGTCGTTCCTCGCCCTGTTCGCCGTCTGTCAGCTCTTCGCCCTCGCCCGCGCCTGCACGCCCACCGTGATCTGGTGCTCGCACGAGTCCGACTACGACCCGGCGTACAGAAGCTCGAGCCCGTTGCAGAGGCCCGAGCTGTTCGAGAGGTACCTGGGGCTGTTCAATTTCACCACGACGCTCGTCACCAACGATCTGTGCATCGAGGATTTAAAGAACCACAAGGTTAGTCCCTCGCTCCCTCCTGGCTATTTATCTGCGTCTATACAGAAAGGTATGCTTATCAAAGCCTCGAAAAGGAGCAAGAAATCGAGGGAAGAATCATCTCGAGCCTCAAACAGATTTTGCATCCGGTTCACAATATTGTAACAATATTGTCATAAAGTTCAGACATGTTACCTCCCTCATTTCTCTCTTCTTTTTATTCCCCTTTTCTATTTCCTCTCTGGATTCATATTGGTTCTAATTTAGAAAATAGAAGGTGCGCAAGAAGAAGAAAGAGTATTCCCAGAATTGCGTTAAACATTTAATGGCAATAAGATTGTTCTTAGTTTGTTCTATTACGATTTGCAGATGTATTTTTTCATCCTATATATGCGTATGTCAACGTGTTATGAATAATTAGAGTTTAGAAACGTTTTAAATTAAGAGCGTAGAACAATTATATTGCTTCTTTCAAAATGACGATGAAAAGTTGTTTGTAAATATTAAATACAAATTTGTAAATATACAAATATTGCAGGTGCTGTCAAACGCCACCAATGGCTCAAAGATACTTTATCACCCGTGTGTCAAAGCATTGGACATCCTCCAAAATAACTATAAGACAAGAACGTTAGATATAAACGACGAACACGAGGTCAACATGATTTTCAAGGATATCGATTCGAATGGATGCATAGTGCTTACTGGAAAACAGTGTCGTTACAGCTACGCCGAACGGATAAAGAGGGAAGCGCTTGCGGCTAATACTACTACAGAAGTGAGAATAAAAACAGACAAAGTTATATTGTATTCCGCTGAGCCACTGTTATTCAAGGTAAATATCAATTTAATATTAATTGCGTGAGAAGTTTTAAAGCAAGTTTCATAGCTCTTCGAGACTTTCTTTTAATAACTCGCGCATTGAAAGATTAAAGGGAGAGAATTTACAAAAAAAAACTAAAATATTAACATTTTCTGTGACGATTTATTAGTCGAAAACCAAAATTTGAAAGTAACCTAACAAAGTGTTGTCATTGCAGGCGGCCGACGAGTCAGAGCCGGTGAGTCTCGGTCAGTCCAACCTCAACGGAGCGTCGTCTCGCACGGAAAAGGATAAGGACAACAAGGATAAGGAGGTCACGATCCTGAGCGTCAAATTCAACACTGATAAGCTCGGCGAGCTCACGCTCGAGTTCTACTTCCCGAAAAGCATCGGTTACTACAAGCTGAGCAAAGTGACCTCCCAGTTAGCCAAAGGGAGCGACACTCTGCTCACCAGGCGGGACATTTCCTTCCCGACCCGGTTCTCCTACCATTGCTCGCCGAAAACCGTCTTCGCCGGGAACAGCACCGACTTGAGCATCACGGAGATGCAGTTGCAGGTCGATCACAAGAACGCGACGTTTGGCGACGCGTACGACTGCGTCGGTTTTACTAGTATACCGATTTGGACGGGGATATTCGTGACGCTGATACTGGGCCTGATTATGATATGGGCGCTCACCATGATCCTGGATATCCGCACGATGGACAGATTCGACGATCCCAAGGGGAAAACTATCACGATATCCAGCGCGGAGTAGGATGATAATAATAATAATAATAATGGAAACTTATAATGCAATTGTACTAAGTACTCGTGCGAAATTTTCACGTATAATATTGCGTCGATTGTTCACGATGACGGTTATACGTCTTGAATGTTTAATTCCGCGATTTGAGTGTCATACGTTTTCACGAAAAAAAAAAAAAAAAACAGAATATCGAGTAGTAATGATAATACTAGTCTCATTACGATAAACACAACCTTCGCTCGATGTATAAATATCATTCCTTTGTAAAATATTATCTTACTTTCGATATTTATATATTGTTCGCTGTATTGGTGCGTTTGCTGTTTGTATGATACGATAGTTAACTATTATTTTAGCGTTTAATTCTTATAGAAAGTTACAAGACCCTTCGAGTGAATGAGACGCTAGCACACCACATATGTATCATATTAAACAACAATACGAACGAAAAGTGTTCTTTTAAACGGGAGTATAATATATTACGTAGTAGAAAAAGAAAATATTGTATAGCCACATGAACTCACGGTGAAAATGGGATAGCTGCTTTTATTACAGCGTGCCTGTTACTGTTTGTACGGCGCAACGTAATGTTTATTATATCAGAAACGATAGGAAAAGAAAAGCAGAGCTGAGAACTGTTACACGGTAGACGAATGAATTTCTAATCGATATACGGTCGCCCGCGCTTTCTGTAAAAAACGGTTCTCACGTCTGTATAAAGCTTCCTTGAGTGTTTTCCATTTAGTGACAAAACGATGCTTGTGTTGGCTTGTGTCACTAAATGAAAAGCGCCCCTTGTTGATAAGAATAAAAAAATATGTAACAAACTATAAATGTTAATTACAAATGTAAAATATAACGTTTATTATAATGTATAAATAAAAACATACAATATAAACGTCCTGAGAAATCAACTGGTTTCTTCCAACTTTTTAAAGAACTTACTCACATCGTCGAACATGCAGGAACATCGACACCGTGAATTATCATAAACACCATGGAATACGGGGGTAGTGATACGTTTTCAACGTAAGGTTTTATTATCACAGGTCGAAACGGCGGCAACTCTCCGTCCGGTAGCAGCTTCAGCACTTCACCGTTCAGCTTTATCTTGCTGCAAAACAAATATAAACTCCGACTTAACATTTCGTTCGATTGGCCGCTATAGAATTTGATTATCGTTTTACACACACCTCGACTGTAAATTATCAGCGGTCAGAGCGTAATACGAAATTATGATATTACTGGGTTTCGAAAACAACTCAGTAATATTCACGTAGGCCGAGGTGTCGTGTAGATTCATTCCGTACACGGTGACGGCCGGCATTCTGGCGATCAATGCTTCCTTCGGCGTGCAATGCGCGTACAATCGTACGTAGCCGAGATTGTCGGACCTGTCCAATTTCAGGACCTTCTCCGACACGAACTGCTTGTAGAAGATGCTGACCCACCAGTCGGGGTTTGGCGTGAGATCCGGTGATACCATGGCGTAATCCCCGCCGAATAACGATTGTCTCGTGACGACGTTTACTCCCGTCTTGGCGCTGTACCCCAATTTGTCCAGCCACAGAAATCCGGCCACGAATCTGTCGGACAATCCGGGCGCACCTCCGCCAAACGCGGTGCTAGTTTCTGCTATAAATTAAATCTTCGATTAAACGCAATCTCTTGTGCTGTGTAATAATATATTATCGATTGAGAAAATTATTTCAAAAAGATTACAGAAGTGATGACATTTACGTAGATTTAAAAATCGGAGCATCTCTACACTTAAGAAATATATTAAAGATTTATACACGTGTAATTAATAGAGCATTGATTATGAATCAAAAAAATAATTCTTCGAGAATAAAGCTGAAGGCAGAAAGCAATACTTGTAATGCAATATCCAATATCCTGACATTAATGCGAGACACCTACACAGCCACATAGAAACGTCTTTCCCCGACTCGACAATGAATTGTCTCATGGAACTTATTTGCGCTGGTAACCAGTTGAACGTGGAAAGTTTCACGAAATCCTCGACTTTAGCCTCTCGTCCATTCAGATAGTACTGATGCCAACTGACGTAATTCACAGTGTTTTTCTGGCTGCTCAAAAACGTCTTGGCATATATCTCTCCAATTTCATTAGACTCTCCGACGTGATTCACTTCTGGCCCAACGAGGATGCTGTTCTCGTATCCGAATACATTTAGCAATTGCCTCAAATGGTCGTAATCCATTGCGAGTTCGGTTGCAGAGATTATCACGTTGAACACGTGTTTAAAGGAATTCGGTTCTGAAAAAAAATGTTTAAATAAGTATTTAAGGATCGCATATGCGCATATGTACACGTATGATAAGTTAATATTTAAATTGATATTCTCATACATTTTCATTTATAATTTACTATTAATTTAACATTTATATAAATCAAATTTTTATACAGTTTACATATTTTATATAATTTCTTTTACCGTTTCCCAACTGCCAATCTAGCGACATGTTTTGACTCTTAGCGAATGCGATAATCTCCTTAGCGTTGCTGTCGTTCCAGGATCCATCTGGATTTCTGAGCAATACGTTCAGATCAAAGATCATTCGTAATTCCGACTTTACCGTGAAATTATAAATGGCGAGGAAATCTTTGTCGGAGATGGTAAAGTTGCTGATATCCTGGCCATCCACGGGGCTAAGAATTTCCTCAGAAGAGTCTTGTTTCATCTGAATCATTACACATGATTTAAAACAGTAAAATTGAAATTACAAGCAGTTTTATAGCAATTAATATCGTTTTATAATATCGAAATAAGTAGAAAAGAGGCTGAAGCTGATCAATAATAATTATGTTACTTATAGAGAATATCATATTTTGCAAACCCACCTGATTCTGAACGAATGTCAGACAATCCGCAGAGGTTCCACCCACTCTGACATAAGCAGGGCTCAAGTGATAAGCCAAATTGACAAATTTCTTCTGTCCAATGGGCATTTCATTCATTCTTCGTAGCAAGGACGTGTCGAGACCAAACGACAAGAACTTGTCAGAGACGGTGTGTAACAGAGGCTGTCGTATGTCGAAATGGAATTTGTAAGAGGAGACCGGATAGACATGTTTGTATATCGACAAACCCAATATTAACAATATTACAATCAACGTGGTGCAGATGAGTAAAATGCGCAGAGTTGTATGTGGCCCTGCAATGGGAAGAACATGTCAAAATTCACCAGTAATGAAACAGTCATATAGAAATAAAGAAGTTATACACAACATATGCATAGCTTTTAAAACAATTATTTTAATATACTACAGAGAATTTTACTTTTCCAATGTTATGTTTTTAAGTAATTTCATAAAATAGCAAAGAAATAATGCAATGACATGAATTAAAAAAAAAGATTAATATCGCAAAAAATGAATGCAGAATGGTTTTGTAAATATAATAAATATAACTTTATAAAAATAACAAAAACACAACAAATATAATTCGAAATAGAATATAATACAATAACTATACAACAAATTTATAAATGCATAATTAATTTTTCTGCACACATACAAAAATAGAAATATACAAAAAAATATAATAAAATGAACTAGAAAATATACAAATATATATGCCATGGTATACACATGTTTCAAATATGACCGACGTGACGCGAATTCCCGAGGTGCGATCAAATTCCCCATCCAAGTTCATCCACGTGGGGATCATTTTATCCTTGTTTAACATTCGGTGAATAAAGAATAAAATGATACCTGATTGCAACCACGTGGGGACAGGGGAATCTGAACGCAGCCAATGGCGGCAAAATGGCGCAAAATTAGCGACTCGTCGGCGACCGGCGACGTGACGTAGAGAAAAACAATAGAAAATGATGCCTACGCGATAACTGATATAATACTTTATTAGGAAAAGTAATTCGATCTCGAGAGGAGGGCGAGCTGAGGCAAGTTGTAACACTCGTAACGTTCGTCTCGCGTGTTTCTTGAGGACGATTACCGGGGATGCATCCCGAGATCCAAGTGCTTACCAGGTGCACGCGCGCGCGAACTCGGCTCCTGAAAGTCCTGAAACTGGACCTTCTGCAAGTCTTTCTTCGCTGCGTTGGTCATCGTCGTCGAGGAGATTCTCAGTATTCTCACAACCTAGCCGGGCCAATGTGGCAAAAACGACGTCTCAGCTTCCCAGGAGCTGGCCCGCGTTGAGTGTGTTGACTGCTCTTCGTGCGCGCATCGGTTAACAATTGAACCTATTGAACGCTCGAAGTTCGAGGCAGGCGTTCGAGCCTCGAAACACACGATGAAAGACGAAATTAGTGATGAACGTGGCGAAGCATTCCGAAAGATGCGCAGTACATAAGTAAAATAATGGAGAGGAGTTCAACCAATCAGACGCAAGAAGAGCGAACGAGGCGGAGGCGCGGGCGAGATGAAGGCTGCGCGCGGGGAGCACGCTATCAGCACTTATATGTAATTACTATAATTTATCCTTCATTATCGTTTATTAGTTGTTCACAAATAGATATTCACAAAGAGACGGAATGGCAATATCGCTGATAGCGCGCTTCCCGAACGAGTACGTGGGCGAAAAATGAATGACTTATTATCTGCTCCCCGGCACCGTTTTTTTTTTCCACTCGATGTAAATCGACAATGATCGAGAATGTCGAGAAATGGAAAATAAAACTGACAATTTATATTATTGTAAAACGAGAGATATCATCGCAGCGAATAAATAACGAACCACAAGCGTTTGCGTTTTATTGAATAAAAAAAAAAATGAGAAAAAATGGATTTGTTCATATTGAAAAAATTAAAAGCATATATATATATATGAATTGACGTTACAGATTACAGAAAGTCGAATTTCTCGATCACTTTGGCGAGTTATTTATATACGTATTCTAAATAATTCAGATATAGTTTCAAAACTTACTCTTTCTATAAATTAAGAAATTCCCTGATATACAATGGACAATCACTGGAACATTGCGGATTTTATTTCTGTTTAAATTTAGATGGACCACGTGCTTTTTTCGGTCGGATTCTCTTGACGTCCCGTAACGTGTTGCTCGCTCGCTCGCAATGATTCGCGCGCGGCAAGATCGCCTCGCGACTCTCGAGGCGCGAGCTAGAAGTAGATGCTGCCTGATGTTCCGAAGCGATCACTTTGTTCACCATGCAAATCGGTTCCTCGGTACTTGTGCACGATGCTTTTCCCAATTGTAATTTCTCTGTTTTAGGATTCAACCAACGTCTTCGTATTCTGCAGACTGTAGACATAATTACATATCCGAATGGATGCAGTGCCTATTCAGTATATAATTTAATGTCAAGTCGCGAGGAGTATCCTCCCAATAAACACCAATTAACGATAATATATTAATTATATCAATTAATATTATAAGTTCCTATTAAAAAATGTAACTGTTACACACATATATGTGTGTTTTCTCTGTATGTGATTAAAATTAATTGAATGAAGTTTCTAAGTTTTTATTTTCTCTCTTAAAATTTTATCGTTTCTTTGGACCTACGTAATATTGATGTAATATCGTCATTGTTGGTGTTTACCGGACTATTTACTATCGATTTTAGACCTTCGACAACGCATCTGACAATGAATGAAAAATATGAACCGTATAAAGATGGGGAGAGATCCATATCGGAGTTTACCTTTAGCCGAGGTCTCCGCGTGGATCGAATCGGAGCTGGAATTCGAGGGACGGGGTGCGCGGGATTGACTCATGTTCGCGGCGCGATTCCTGTAGGACACGCTACGCCGGCGCTTCCTCCTCGCGGTTAATCTCTGCCGCGACTCCGAGCTGCTCAGCTCGTCCTCCGCCCAGAACTGTCGATCGGTATCGTCCGCGATCGGTGGTGCCGGAGTGGGTGGCTTTAAATTAAACAATTAACAACAAGATTAACATATATCGTTCTACACGAGAGCCGTTGTATGCTGCTTATTTGCTTTCGTTCCGCTTCGCTCACAGCTTCGCCGTGGGTGTCCGAGGCGCGTCCGCCTCTCTTTTCTGCGACGTCGACGATGACGCGATTTTCATAACCCTCCTCCTCGGAGCTGCACTTCATCTTCGCGTCCCCCCAAGCGCAATAGTAACCCATCTTATTTTACATACGTACGAGTCGCGCACCGTTGCAACTACGACGCTCAATTTATCGCATTTTATAATTATTGTTTCGACATACTGGCGAATTTTTACGATACGTACTCGGATAATCGATCGGGCAATTAAAGGGCTGTAAAATGCGTAGTGTTTTTTTCATAATTTGCAGATATATATATATATCACATTAGATTCATTGCGCGACACAGAATAATCTTTTTGAAACTTCGTTTTCAGAAACTCACTAATTTTTCGCTAAATTTTTATTTATTTCACGTTTGCAGGAAACAAAACTATACATAATACAATCGGCATCTTTAAGAGAAGAAATTTATCTCTTTAGCCTCTTTTTTTAAAATATAATCTCTTGTTATATTTAAAGACAAAAAGATCGACGTCGAAGACGGAAAAGTTAAATTGAAACGGACTTCGTAACGCTTAAATATTTTACAACTTTCAGAACTGTTACACGAGTATCTTAATCTTGTATTGTAATTGACCTTACAAAATACGAGAGAGATCAATTAATTTTATACAATGATTATATCACACTTTAAGCTTTCCTCGTAGGCTTTAGATACCACTTCTCGCACATGATTCCAGTATCTATACTTCGTCAATGCCTGAAAAATATGTCTGTATTTCTCCTCCGCCATTCATTTCCTCTCCTTCAATATTGCCCTATAACGCACGAACGTAGCTTTACATCTGTATGTACAGCTTGCATTAATGCACTCTAATCGTTCTCGGATTTTCTGCGTTTCTTCGAGCGCGGACTGTCGGTATCGTGGGGACTCGGAGTGATATGACTTCGTTTCCGCTTAAGGCTGCTCTCGTTCGCCTCGCTGCTACTGCTCGCCGCTGTCCTGGTCTCCCTCCGAAACGTTCCCTCTCCCGTTGCTTGAACCAAAATCTGGAAAATTAAATGACATTATCGATCTTCGAAAATAGGCAAACGTTTAAAGAGGAAACGATAAAATACGCATTGAAAGAGTATGATTAAAAAAAAGACATTTAACATGCCTTTAAAAATATTTTCACTGGTATAAATTATATTAAAGTATATTAAATGACATTATCGATTTTCGAAAATATACAAACGTTTAAAGAGGAAACAATAAAATACGCATTGAAAGAGTATGATTTAAAAAAAGGAGACTTAACATGTCTTTCAAAATATTTTCACTGGTATTGTTTTTTGCTCTAACCAATTTCCTAATACATTTTTAAACAAGCACACCAGCAGTCGCTAGCCAAAAAGTATTGTATAAATTAGAATTATTAATAAATAGAATATTTTTTTCACCTGCATATGCTGCAAGCACTCCTCCTGCATCGAGACTGCCATTTTAAAGATAAACGTATCGTGCTTGTTGTACATGATCGCGTTCTGGAACATGAGCATTACGTCCCTCTGAAAGTGCATGGTCGACCTGATCGTGCCGTTGTCGATGTTCTTCTTGATGGTCGACAGATCCATCGGTCGGAAGATCACCGAATGATACCCGGGCGCCTGGTCCTCCGTGATCGGCCTGAGAAACACCGACGCGTACTTGTGCGTGGCCAGACGATTGTAGACGAGCATCACCGCCTTCTTCCAAGCACGATAATCCGCACCCTCCCCGGTGCCCTCGTTCTCCGGCTCGCTGTCCACGGCGACGTTCTGCTTCTTGGAGTACGTCTTCATCGCCCGGCTGCTGCTCAATTTGCTCAACGAGGACTCCTCCTCGTCCAGTTCCCCGGGCTCCTCCGCGACCGCAGATTCCATCTCCTTCTTTATGCTCTGCTCACCTTCCACGAGCTTCTTCTTGACGTCCTCTTTCTCCTCTTTCTCCAACTTTTCCACCTTTACCACCAGCTCTTTCTCTCTCTTAGCGGTCTCCGATAGAAGCGGGCTCTTCCTCTGGAACGAACCGTTAGCTTCCGATTTCGTTTCGGTTTTTGGTTCCTCGGACTTCACTTCCACAGTCTCGGTTTTCTTGACGATCATTTCCGCATCGACCGTCTTGGCCTCGACCGATTCGCTCTTGACGCTCTTTTCGTCAGGTTTGGTCGCCACACGTGTGGTATCGTCGTTCCCCTCGGCCGGCTCGCCGCCGGCCTCCTCCTCTTTGACTTCTACGCCCTGCAAGATGGAACTCGTAGTATCCTCCGAGGAGTCCTTGACCTCCTCCTTCTTAAACCCGTCTGTGAATATCTCCGACGTTTCCTCGTTCGCTTCTTCCGCCTGTGATTTTATCGAAGCTTCCTCCTTCGTCTCCACGACAGTCTTCTCTTTTACCGACTCCTCCTTGAACGATTCCAAGGATTCCGCGCTCTCGACCGTGTTCTCGATGATCTGCTCCTCCGCCACCGCTTTCCTCTTACTCTCCGAACCCTGACTGCTCTCGTCGTCCTCCAGGATCAAGCTGATGTCCTGCGACTTTTCCGTATCTTCGGCACTGGGCAGCTCGTTCGTCACCTCCGACGAGACGCTGACAATCTCCGCGGACGGCACGTCCTGCTGATCCCCTGTAATTTTCGCCAAATATATTTGTAATTGATCTAATCCCGCGTTATCTTTACCTTCAGTGTCTTCCGGTGCCTCCTTCTGCTCTTTAACGCTACCGGACGACTCTTTGTCCGCATTAGGTGCAGCCACTTCTGCCTCTTCTTCCTCGTCGTCTTCCTCTTCTACCTCCTCGTCCACGATCTCGCGTATCGTTTCCTTCGTTTCGTCCAGAGGTTTAGAGTCCTTTTCTTCAGTTTCTACGTTCGCCGCAGCATCCACGGATTTCGCGTCAACGTTAGGTTGCTTCTCCTCCGGTGGAGTATCTTTACCAGTTTCTCCGTCATTGATTTGTATCTCGAGTTTCTCCGTCAAAGTCGTCCTCTTGTCGCAAGCACTCGTCTCGGACTTTGTCTCCGGTGTGTTTGGCACGGTCTTCGTGATCTCCGCGACGATAATTTTAGGTTCCTGCGGCCTATCTATGGCCACGGTCCCAATAATCTCGGCGATGTTCGACGTACTGGAGTCGATCTCCTCGATCGCCATTTCGCTTTGCGGCGAATCGGACAGCGACACGGCCTCGTCCACGTCCCTCGGCTGCGGCCTCGGTCCGGTTGCTGCTATCGGTGTTTCCGTCACTTGCTGGGGTATACTCGCGAGACTGATAACCGCCGTCGTTGTCGTCGTCGTCGTCGAGCCACTCGTGTCGAGCGTCTGTGAAATCCTGTCGTTCTTGATAATTTCTTCGAGGTCGTCGATGATGTCGTTCAGCTCGTCCTTATTGATCACATCCGGTATCATCTTTTTCTGTATCACGTCTATGTCATCAATTATCTGCACCATATTCTTCGACACAGGTACGTTTGCCGGGGCGGTGGCGGCGACGGTCGCCGGAGCTATCGTTGACATCGTCGTCGATTCCGCCGCCTCGTTCTGGATAGCCGTCTGCCGAACCTGGGCTTGCGACTGCGGCGCTTGCTGGAGATTGCGCACCTCGGAGGTAGTGGCGGCCACGGTAGCGGTTGTCTGTTGCTGCTGCGCGTGGGACACGATCGCGGTCGGGGTTGTCGTCTGCAGATTCGGCAGGGGCCCTCTCTGCGTGCTCGCTGGCATTTCCAGCAGCATGGAGAGCGTGGGCGCGCCGACGGACGGCCGTTCCGGTGTCGCGTTCGCGCTGGCAATCGCCGTCGAGACCATCTGCTGCAACTGCGGCGACACGTTCTGCGCCAGCTGTGGATTCAGCGCCTTGGAGCTGGACCCGAGCAGGCTGGTGATGGTCGGCGAGCTCACCTGCACGGGCGTGGATGGAAAGGACTGCACGGTCTGAGTGGTCGGACTGGGGGACTTGAGCAGGCTCGTCAGCAACGGTGATCTGCCGCCCTTGTTGATCTTCTTCTCCTCGTCGTTCTCCGCGACCGGCGATTCCGCGACCGCAGCCGGTTCATGCGGCACCTCCGTTGTACCCTCCATCACCTTGGTCTGGCGAGTCTGGTTCGCGCTCGCGGTCGAGACGGACGGCGAGCTCATGTCCTGCTTCTGCTGCTGCTGCTGCTGACGTTTCGCCAGCCACGCCATATGTGTCCGCACCTTCTGCTCCGCCTCACGTTCCTCCTGCTGTATGTCGAGCCACATCTTCTCCAGCTTCTCGTCGCTGATCGCGCCGGACTTGAGTTGACTTAAGTCCGCCTTGAGCCGCAGATACTCCTCCTTCTGACGGCTCAGCGTCTGCGTCAACTCGGATATTCTCTCCTGCGTCAATTTTCTGACTACGGACTCGAACGCGGTCTCGCCGCTCTCCCGCTTCTTCCTCTTCGGCGTATTGACATGATCCAGTAGATGGGAGTATTGCGCGGCGCATGACTTAAACGAGAACCAGTCCGCGGGCCTTACCGGCTCTTTTTCAGCAAATGGTTTCAACGATCTGGACACACTCATAAAATTCAAATTCTGATCCCCGGTCTTCAGTACGCTTGATGCGAGACACAATTGCTCCCGCGTGGTCCATGGGTCTATGGGTCCAGAGCTTGCGCCACGTTTGACTTTCATTCCTGAAATTGAATTTTCTTAATTAAATACCATCCAGCTGTCTTTTATATGAAAAAATTTAATGAATAACAAAATGAGAGAAAATATCATATAAAAAAATTACAAAATTGATTAAACCAAGTAACTTTAATCGTTATACATAACGAATGAAGACCAAAATTAAATACCATCTAGCTGTCTTTTGTATAAAAAAAAATTAAATAACAAAATGAGAGGAAATATCATATAAAAAAATTACAAAATTGATTAAACCAAATAACTTTAATCATAAACATAGTGAATAATCGTAAAGATAGAAATTAGATAAAGCATTTTTTAGAACTACAAATATTAAGTCTATTTTAGTTGCATTTCATTTCCCTGATTTCTTTTTAGTTATCCTTAAACATAATTTATATTTAAATACCGAAAAAGCAGAAAAATACAAGCATATAGAAATATAAATAGAATTTGCGCGGTAGGGACTTCTTTACGTTGACATTCTTTGCCCGTACAGGTTAGCGTACACCTAGCTATCTCATTTCGACTATCTGTCCGAGTATCTGTCTACTTCAAAGTGGATAAAACTGGCGTATTCCACAAGTGACGACAAAGCATAGAATGAGACTATCCGAAATCTGTCGGTTTAAAGCCAAGATATGCAATAAAAACTCGACGCAGTTGTCTTAACCTATAAGCCGAGCATCATCTTTCGTCAAAAGTGCGAGGAATGTCGAAAGTCGAACTCACTCTCTTGCATCGATGCCATCGCGTTTCTCTCTTCGTGAGATACCGGACTCGCTGCGATTTACGGAATATACGCGCGACGCGAATCCTCGAACGAACAATTTTCGTGGAGTTGCGCTCTGCCTGGCGACTCTTCGAACAGCAATCGGAAACGAGTTTCGTTCCGCAGTTCGGAACATACACACACGCACACGTGTCTGCCACCTGGAATCCGAGTTTCTCACAGTATTCCTCCGATCTAAAATGTCAAAAAGCTCAACGAGTTTCACGTATTTTCAGAAATCTCTTGTAGCCCTGACAGCACTCGACAGAGTGCTATCATTGAGCCCTATAGAATTGTATACTAATTATTATTATTATTTAGTCCTACCCATACCCTTTTGGTCTTTTCAAATTTACGTCTATTGCAATTGGCTGGATCCAAAAGTAAGAGCCAATAACATTCGACTCGAATTCGCTCCGTTCGGTCGAGTTTAGGTTATGGCTCGTTTAATTGCGCGTACAGAATACGGAGTTCGTTTAATTCACGAAGCTCAGAATATATGGACCCTCCTTAATTTAATGAATTCGGAATACAGGGCCTCTTTATTTTCTCGAAATACGTACAGTCTGTTTCAAATTCAGATGTTCGGAATAGAGGGGGGGATTCCTGTCAATTCCAATTTAACACAGATTTTTCGAAACGAAGATTTCGACAAATAGTACAATTTTGGAACGATAAAAAATGCTTTGATTTGTCATATATTATATATCGTCAATATCATCAATGAGAAAGCACGTACACACCGACGCAGCGCCAAAGAACAGACTTGCGTCGCGGCGGAACGCGGAACGGACAGCTGATCGTGATTCGAAACTGCTCCGCGGCGACGGAACGCAGGAACGTCGTGACGGGAGTCGGGAAACGTCGTAATGGCGGAACGAGTGGTGGCCGTCGAGGTATGCGTCCGCACGAACCGCGTCTCGTCGCCGTGAGTTGAGACCAGCGCGCGACAGCGAGCGAGGCCAGCGGCCGTGCCGTCGAGGGTCCGGTCTCGTGGACCACACCGTTTACGTTTGTGAGATTCGTCGACAGCGTCCCTCCGCGCCGCGACACGATGATGAATAATCGCAGGCGCACCAACAACTTCACGTACGTCAGCTCGTGCGTGAAGTACATGATCTTCATGCTGAATTTCGTCTTCTGGGTAAGAGCTGATCTCGATCTCCTCCCGGCCGTCACGCTTTTCCGTCCACGTCGCGCGCGAACGTGGGAAAGCAGCGATTCGCAATTTGCTCGGCAGGCGGAATTACGGACGCACGCGTTTTTTTTTTTTTTGCGTCGGTTTTGAATCCACCGACGTCAATTGCCAGTTCTAAAGCTAAATCACCACATGTCCGTACGTGAAAGTGGAACGAGAGCTGAAGATAATCAATGTAGAAACTCAAATGAAGGCGCGGAAGAACGTTGTATCGAACATTTTTTTTACCGATTTTATACATATTTAGCCCACACACGAATAACGTTCCATTAAAACCTGAGTTTTCATTTAAAAAAAAGATGATTGCAACGTTTTTCCAGAGAGCCCTTTAAATGTAACGAAGGACGTTAGACGAAAATAATTTTCTTTATGCCCAGCTGTTTGGCGGACTGCTAATCGGCGTAGGTCTCTACGCGTTCGTGGACAAATGGCAGGCGACTGGATCTGTCAGGGTGGAGAACGTCTACGACGTGGTCCTGAACATTTCTCTGGTGATGCTGATCGCCGGCGGGGTGGTCTTCGTCGTCAGTTTCGCGGGATGCGTTGGAGCCCTTCGCGAAAACACATGCCTTCTTAAATTCGTTAGTTTTCTGCTGTACAGCATGTTAAATTCCCTTCAAGCGGCGCGAAACGGATGCACGCGATTGACTGACCGAATGATCCTTTCAGTACTCGCTGTGTCTTCTGGTATTCTTCCTCCTGGAGATGGGTGTAGCGATCGTCGGTTTTGTATTCCCGCACACATTGCAGTCTCTCTTGGAAGAGTCGTTCACGGACAAAATAATTCAGACGTACAGAGAAGATCCAGATCTGCAAAATTTCATTGATTTTGGCCAGCAAGAGGTAACGATCGCGAGTGTAAAATTATTAATAATGATAAAGATACATTTGCACGAGTTAGTCGATTTCGTACACGCAGCAGAAATATTCGTAAAACTTTATATTACAGTTCAAGTGTTGCGGCTTGAGCCAAGAGGGATACCTGGACTGGGGGAAGAATGAATATTTCAATTGCACCAGCCCCAGCGTAGAACGTTGCGGCGTACCGTTCTCTTGTTGCATAAACGCTACTGACATATCCGTACGTACATTATCTGTTGAATTCATGCCGTAGAAAGCCAAAGATAAGTGAAAGATGTCTTATCTTTGAAAGACATTTTTAGTCCATTCATTGCTAAATATATGTATATACAGGGTGTTTATAAAGTATCGGACTCCCCCTCTATCTCAGAAAATACTAACTGGATAAAAAAACTTTAAAGACAAAACTTTTAGGAAATTTCCCTGAAATTTTCTAAGATAAAGGGGAAGGTCCGATACTTTATGAACACCCCGTATATGTATTATAGCACGCACGTGGTAATAATGATGACAATTATATAAAAAGGTCACTGCCAAACGATAAGCGGCTAGTTAAGTGCAGTTAAATGAAAGCCATTAGCAACGATAGTGATAAAGTTAGGCGCAACGAACGTTTTATATAGTGAGTCATGCCAATGAGTGGGCACAATTACTAAGCTCACTTGCAATAGTAATATATGGTGAGTCATGTCAACACGTGGGCACAATTACTAGCTCACTTACAGTAATAATCGGCGATAAAAACTGCCTTATCTTTCCGAAATGACTCGATATAACTCCTTAAATTTCTCAAAGTAAAATTCCACTCAAAAAATGCAATGTCACCGAGTCACTCAAGTTGGAGTGACTTTTTATTCGTATGGAGAGAACTTTTCCATTCTGTCATAGACGGAACATTTTCAATTGTAATTAAAGAGTAAACCTGATATGCTCTAACTAAGTCACTGTGGTTGAAAATAGTATCGCGCTAAGCAAGAAGAAAATTGATAAATGATATCTTTTTTTAGTTTTCTTTCTTTTAGCTTAATTTATTTCCAGAAAATTTAATCGAATATTTTTTTAACAAATTATATTTAAGCGATATATTTCTAAACGGAGAGAACAACGGCAAATACGAATTTTTGTAGCACATC